AAAACCCACAGAGAACCCCCCCTCCAAAAAACAAAAAAAAAAAAAAAAAAAAAAAAACCCAACAACCACAATTTCTCCCCCTGCTCCCACCAAATTCAATAAAGACAGCAAAAGACTGCATCATGCTCTTATTGAGGACCACAAGCCTCTGGTAATTGCATCTTGTGGTGTAGATTAAGGTATCTGTGACCAAAAATATCTTTGGCAGAATAGGTTTGAAATGACAAAGGACTACCAATTAATGGAGTCCCCATTAATATAGAAGATGGGTCCTGAAAATGCAAATATATGCTTCTGGATAAGGGCAGTGTGGGAGGGTTAAGCGTTGGCATGCCTGGTCCAGGCTTACACTTATGCCTCTCTCTTAGGATATGCCTGTTGATGTCTCTTACATCTTTGAGAATTCAGCACTACTGCAAAGGTAATTAAAATTTGGACACTTGTTCTAAATGGGTGAGGTAAAGCTTGTCACATTCGAGGAATCCAGCAGGCCCATAGCCACACATAATTCATGCAGGGCTCACCTCATTTTGACCACTTACCGTACAATATGGGCTTAAAGCAGGACTCTGGCATTAGTCCAGAAGATTGTTTTTCTTAATGTTTTCTTAGTAATTAGAAACTTAAGGATTAGGTGATAGAACAGGGTATGGCAAAGTGAGTCATATCTGTTATTTCTACAGAAAATTCAAATTGAGAGGTGGAGAGAGAGGAGGAGGAGAGGGAGAGAGAGAGAGAGAGAGAGAGAGAGAGAGAGAAAGTGTTTGGCTGGGTATCAAGCCTAGGGCCTTGCACACACTAGGGCAGGTACAGCCCTAGACCTCTTCAGGAAAACTTCAAAATTTACTATGGATAACACCCTATAGGCATTGTAGCACCTGTCTATAATTGTAGCACTTGAGAGGCTGAGGCAGGAGGATTTCTGTAAGTTTCCGGCTTATCTGGACTATAGAGTGAGGCCATGTTTCAGGACTCCCCTTCCCAATAAAGAGCCACATAAAACTCACATTGAATTAGCTTACATGTAGCAACCCATGTTACTGCATAGCAGCTCTCCAAAAGACTTTTTACATAGGCTTAAAGAACAGTAAGAAATATAGCTAGAACCTAGCCAGAATCCTGCTCACTGATAATGTAAGGAGGGATTCCTGCCTCAACATTTTGTTTGATTATAAAAGCTTTGTGTGTACATGTGTGTGCTTTTTTTCTTTTCTCTATAGACCAGGAAAGATTCGATTTCGAGAGCAATGGCTGAGGGATATTACCGAGACCAAACATATTTTGTTGGAGTCTATCCCTTTCAAAGTTGTCTGATTCTTGTGTTATGTTTGAAGACTCTTAACAATCAACACATTAAAAATATGAAACAGCACATCAAACCACATAATATTTATTGATTAATAAACTTGTGGTACACAAGCCAAGTGTGTTTTTGCTTTTATTCATTATCCATTCTGTAATAATTTGTTTTCTGTTTTTGAAAAGATTTTTCTTAACACTAATTTTTGATTTTGGAGTCTGGCAAGCACAGAGTTGAATTTTGAACATTGCTAAAGTTCACCCACTGGCCCTTAGCTGTTTGGTCCTTCTCTGTGCCTACCTCCAAGCTTGATACACATTTTTATGAGTGTGCTAGGTAGGTAACAAAATGGCAACAGTTCTGTAGCTCATGCCAACCAGTCTGAAGGGTTCTCCTACTAATACACTGATTCTACTTTAGGGTGAGCCTCACTGGCAAACTCTGAAACTGAATGCTTTAGCTTCTAGGCACACCATCATGCTTATTATTACAATGAACCAGGGATGGGTTACCACCCTTATTTATTTCTGGTCTTGTTTCTACCTTCATTCTGGATCATCATGTATTTCTACCTCCTCAATGAGACTCCTAAGCCTGCTCACACAATTTTAAAATACCAAAGACAAAATTACACTACACTTTGACGGACAAAGACATACAGGAACACAGAATACTTGTAACAAACAATTCATGTGGCAGGACTGAGCAATTTTTCTATTTTTTTACCATTATCTTTGTACAACAAATAAAAAGGAGAGGAAATCCTATGAACAACAGATGAAGAGATAAGAAATTAGGTAACTCTCTTTAGAGAACAAAACAGTATTTAAATTACAATAGTTCGACATAGATTTTACATGGGACTGAAGAACTATGAAGAATATAGATAGAATTGTAGATACTATCTTGTTCACTGGGAATGTAACAGGAGGGAATTCCTAGCTCAATGTTTTGTTCAATTATAAATGTTCAAGTGCTTGTGTGTTTGCGGCTTTGTTTCCTCTGTAAACCAGGAAGATTTGCTTTTGGAAACAATGGCTGACTTAGAGCTCAGGTGACAAGAGACAGTTTGAAGCAATAACTCAAATAAGCTGAAAATAAAATACTTTTAGCCTTCCACTTTTTAAAGGATCTGCTAGTAAAGCTATTCTTTTCGGATCTTATCCAAATGAACACTGCTGCAAGGAATGGTAGGTTTAGAAATAAATTCATGTCTTTTTTTCATTGACTATGTCTACTCTGTGGAGAAGAATCAAAATAAAATTCATATACTTATACACCACAAAATTGTTGCATTTAAACTACATTGTCTATGAAAAATAAAATCATATTCAGCCAGTTAACAAAAGAAAATAATGACCCTTCAGAATAAATTTAAAAGTAGGGATTATAAACATTACATTGTATTATATGAGGAAGTATATGGATTAATAAGACTTCCAACTTTGGAACCTAGTTTCCATTAAACTTTAGGAAACTATAGACTTACTAGACTGAGAAGTATAGATACAGTGAAATAATTTCAAGTTCAAAGATCACAGATGTTACTACATGCTAACTGCTGCTCAATACAGCAGTCGTGGGTTAAAAACACATTTCCCAGATCATATATTAAACTTTTCAAAGAGCGATAAAGTGAGGAGGGTTTCTACAAAGTTAAGGATTAAAGACATTGATAGATATAAAAAAGCTGAGGAGGTTAACAACATTTAAAATCAAATCTGATAGCCAGGTGCAGTGACACACACCTCTAATCCTAGCACCTGGAAGGCAGAGACAGGCAGAACTCTATGAGGCTACATAGTGAGACTCTGTCTCAAAAAAGAAATCTCAGTACATAAAGAACACAATTGAAAACGATTTACTATCATTATCATGAAACACCTAATTAAAATACTGACTTATTACTTTCCCCCTCGTTAGCACTCGACACTCATTCTTTTAGATATTATCCTATCATTAAATACCAGCTAGATAGAAATAATATTCTTACATTGGCACAATAGACTTCCCAAGACTGTATTTGAACTTTTTTGCACTGCTGGGGAATGTAACTCAGGGCCACATGCGTGATAAACCATGTTCTAACTGAGCTATACCCCAGCCACTGAAAGAACTATTTTAGGTAACTTATTAAGAATTTAAAACATCTAATGCTCACATTTTTAATCAATACATCTGTGAGTTAGCCTTTTGGTTTGCTGTTTTTAGAGCAGAGGTAGACTTAGCCCAAAATACATTTCTAGGACAGACTATAGAAACAAGTCAGTTTTCAAATTCCACAATAGCATTTTATACCATCATGTTAACAGAAATAGCCTCCTATTATAGTTTCTGTCTAGCCCATTTGTAATACATTCAAGACAGAGATAGGAAATTCCCAAGTTGTACTGGGGTAGAGGCAGACACAGCATGGATTCACACTCAATCACAACGTGAGATTTAAATTTCTTATTCTGCTGCTACTTTCTCTCTGTATCACCTTCCTAACATTGCAGGGTTTCACTCAGAATCTGGACCTTAAAACCACAAAGTTAGGGTCAATCTTAAAAAGACTTATTAATTATACCAACAAGCATCTTTTATTGAGGGACTGAAGGATCCAAAAGGCACACAAGCACCGAAAAGCCATTTCAGAGAATAAAAGCCTTTTTGGCTGGGCTGGTGGCACATGTCTGCAATCTCAACATTTGGAAAGTAGAGGCAGTCAAATCATCTTTGTCTACAAAGCCTGAGGCCAACCTGAACTATGTGAAACCACACATCAAAAAATAACCCCAAACACAAACAAAACAATAACCTTTTTATGTCTAGAAACCACAACTTCCTTTTTGATGTTAAAAATATCCACTTGTAATGTCAGAAAGTCCTCACTTGTCATCCTTCCCTTTGGTCTTTCTGTACACCATCTCTCGAAAGCTGGCCAGAATCTTGTTCTCTCTCTTCCGTCTTTCTTCCTGGTTAAAGGATGCAAGGGCTCTCTTCTCATCTGCACTGTAGATCTGGTTCTCTTTCCGCAGACGCACAGCCTCCATTCGGCGATGCCTGAAGATGAGTTTATTTTTGACTTAATTTCTTACTAATAATTCTTATAGTATATCCTCATTAATCCTTTCTTAATGTAGAATCCTCTATTTAAAAGGTGACAACAGAACCTGGAGATGGGTCATCAAATGACTATACATTTTTTCTAATGTTTCCTTTTCCTTTAACTTATTTCTAGTATTCATGATCTCCAATGTTTGTCAACATAATGGACATTATCATTAATTTCAAATACTAAAGACATAATTATTTTTCTTCTTTCTAATAAACTGAAGTGGGAATCTTATTAAATGTTTTAGGTGGGATGTGGCAGCACGCCTTTCATCCCAGGCCTCAAGAAGCAAAGGCAGGGGGATCTCTCTGAGTTTGAGGCCTGCCTCCCAAGCGCTGGAATTAAAGACATGTGCCACCACTGCCCAGCCACTACCAGCAGTGTTTAAGGGGCCGTTTGACACCACATCCTTTCAAATATTTGGCATTGTCAGAACTTTGATCTTTTTCCTATTTAATGGGTACAAAGCAGTATTTCACTAAGGTCCTAATTTCCATTTCCAATAACAATAAACGTCATTTAGTTTATGTAAAGGGCATATGTGTTCTTTTGAGCAATGGCCCTCTCTATTATTTCCCATATTTCTTTTATAGGTGTTCATTTAAATATTCTCATTACCAACACTGTATCAATTGTGTGTATTCCAAAAATCTTATCTGAACCTGGAATTTTCACAGTTTTATGTTTTTGATGATACAAGTTCTTACTTTTAGCCTAGGCAAACTCTGGATAAAACATTCTTTGTTTTGTTTAGCAACTACTGTCTTATCTAAAAGACATCCTGTCTCAAAGTATGTAGTCTAGTGGCACTGCTTTTTTACATATGGTGATTCAGTATTCTACATTCTTAACATGTGGGTGACATTTTTCCTATTTCATTCCCTAAATACTTCTTTCTGCATATCTCTGACATGCTATCTCTTTCAGACACAAAAATCCCACATGTATAACTGTCCTTGGGCTCTGCACTTTTATCCCACTGAATTAGGTTATTCCCTATGCTTCCTAAAGCCTGAAAGCTCCTTAATTCTCATCTCTCATAGGTCACATCTTATTTGCCTACTCTTTTCAAAAGTAATATGGCTACTCTGGGCCTTTTAGTGTAACAAGTACACTGTAGAACAGTTTTACTAAGTTTCATAAACTGCTATGACTTTTGATTGAAATTTTACCAAATCTGTAGATAAATTTGAGGGAACTGACTTTACAATATTGCTATCCTATCTTTGAACATGGTCTGTCTCCATTGATATAAGTCTTTTTTTGTTTTTTGTTTTTTTCTAGACAGGGTTTCTCTGTATAACAGGTCTGGCTGTTCTGGAACTTGCTGTGTAGACCAGGCTGGCCTTGAACTCAGATATCTGTCTGTCTCTGTCTCCATAGTGCTGGAATTAAAGGTGTGTGCCACCACCACCCGGCAATATAAGTCTTCTTTAATGTTTCTTTCTATTATTTTTTTTTTGAGACAAGGTTTCTATGTGTAGGCCTGGCTGTCCTAAATCTCTCTGTAGAACAGGCTGGCCTCAAACTCAGATATCTTCCTGCTTTTCCCTCCAGAGTGCTAGGATTAAAGACAAGCACCACCACACCCAACTAATTTTTTTTTTAATTTTTATTTTGTGTATGAGTGTTTTGCCTGAATGTATATCTGCATATAACATATGTGCAGTGCCTGCAGAGGCCAGAAGAGGACTTCAGATCCCCTGGGACTGGAATAACAGTTGGTTGTGAATTGCCATGTGGGTGCTAGGAACTGCACTTGGTCCTCCAAAAGATTATGCAGTGCTATGAACCTCTGAGCAACGTCTCCATCCTCAATGTTTCTTAATGTTTTATAGTTTTTCCCTGTGAGGGTCTAGGGGTTCCTTTGCTCAGATTTATTTTAAATCATTCATATTCGGATACTATGATACACTAAACAATAAATGTTTAATTTTCCCCTTATATATAATATATACAATTATACAATATTAATTATATTAACATATTAATGATATGTTAAATTATATTTTCTAGTTGCCTTTTGCTGAGATATAGAAACACAATTAGTTCAGTAACAACTTTATATGCAACCATTTATATTAGTCCCCTGAAGTGTCTTTGGGACTTTCTAGGAAAACAATTGTCTCAATCACAAAAATAGCTACGTTGAACCCTCCTTGATCCTTACATCTCTAGTGATTTGTCTTTGTCATACTGTCATCCTCCAAAGTGAATTTGGTTTTCAGAAATCTAAGGTTCTGGGGGTACTTCAGAGGTTCAGCAAATATTTGTCTCTGGTATCAATTCAACATAGTTAACTATTTTAATAGGTAGTTTGTAATCTTAAAGAATCCACAGTTCAGTGTGAGTTCAGTACTGCTGCCCTAACTCTCCCTGATTAGTCAAGTATTTTCTGATTTTCCATGGTTTCATTTCCTCATGCTGAATCTGACATCTTTCATGATCCTTAAGTGATACTCGTTTCTAGAAATTCTGGTCCTCTGAGAACTGGAGGCAAACTAAAAACCCAACAAAGATTATCTTGTGACAATGCTTGCCTAACTACTGGAATCCCATATTCCTCTATGATAGATGGCTGAACTTAACTATTTTTTTATTTTCCAGAGGAAAAGAATATACCAAAATATGAATAAGAAATAAAACTGGAAACTATTGATTCTATAAATTTGGAGATATTGTAAAGTTTGAGGCTAAGTTTTATACACAGTTAAACCTTATTTAAGTATGTTTCTTCTAATGAAACCAGCATTGTGTATGTGTGTGTGTGTTTGTGTGTGCTCGCGCGCATGTGTGTGTGCATGTGTGTATGTGTACACTCTATTTTCCTTTAGGAAATAGTCACTTAATGAAAACAGATCACCAAAATGCAATTCTAGTAGTAAGAAAGAAGGAAAAGAGCTAATCATGGAAATTGACTCAATGCCAAGAAAATACCTGCTACCACTCATTACGTAGCCCGAACATTCAAATGATGCAATCTCTTCACTTGTCAAGCCAATTTCACCTCTTCGTGGGATTCGCTTTCCAGCTTTTACATATTCAGCCATAGCTGCACCTTCACCAGGTAACAGAGCATGGCCATAGCTACAAAATAATTCAGAATTCAAAAAAAGGCTCATTAAAAGTATCTGCATAGAAAAAAGAGAGCACAAACCATGTTCCCTCAGACAGTAGTAAGAATAACAGTGCTGAGCAGTCTTGTGCCTGATGTACATTACTTCATTTTTATTAGAGAACACTGTACTACAGCTTATATTACTAACCAAGAAATGTGTAAGTAATATGTAAGAATGAAGGAACTAATGTTCACAAGTATAGACTCACACCTTATAATTGTGGGCTAATTCATCGGGTATTACCATTATTGTTTCTGTTCTCTGCTCATTCTCTCTTAAAAAAAAAAAACAAATAAATAACAGATCTCAAAATAAACTTGTAACAAACAATAATGCCATACAGTAAAAATTATCTTTTGCCTTTGATTAAAAGAGATTTTAAGAGCAGTTCAGTGGTTTCTTGTATTCCTATTAAACTGGAGTTTGTAACACAAAAGTAATCTCTTCACTTACAAAACTTACATAGTTACAAAGATAACTACACTACATTATATGGTAAACATAAGTAATATATTTCATGGGCTGCCAAGGAGCCTGACAGGGCAATCACATTTACTGTCAAGTTTGTTGACCTGAGTTTAATCCCTGGTGGATTAAATATGGTGGAAGCAGAGAACTGACTCCTAAACATTGTCCTCTAACCTTCATGCCTTCCCTCCCTCTATTCTTCCCCATACAAAATAGACAAACTAATAAAAAGTTTAAAACTACACTGCATAGGAGAAACAGAAAGTGCGGTGAGAATTAAAGAGAGAGAGAAATCACAGCTCCTTGCAGAAAAGCATTGGGACTTACCATATACTCCTTCTTTTGGAAACGGGCTTTAAAGGTCAGTTAAAAATCTTATTTTTATTTTGTAGAAACAGGGTCTCCTGTAGCTTAGACTGGCCTTAAATTCCTGATCTCCCTGCATTGTCCTCACAAATGCTGGGATCACAGGCATACATACCAAACCAAGCTAAGAAAGTACTTTAGATACTGCAAATATACTGCTACAAGCTGAAGGCACAGCTCAGTGGCAGACTGCTAACCTACCATACTCGGCACTGCAGAAAACAAACAAGCTACAACAAAGAAAACCACCCAAGCCCACATCTGTACACTGCTACTTACTTCAAAGGCTTATCATCTTGGGAAGTAATTGTTTTGGGAGCCTCTGGGCCAATAAGATCAGATGGTTCTTCTGCCTCTGCATGAAAGATATTTAGAAACACATTCACATCTTGACTAATTGGTTAATGTTTCGTGTTTGAGGTAGTCAACTACAAGAACCTACTTGATCGATCCTTCCAAGGATTCTCTAGAAATTCTTCTTGGGACTCTTTAGAGCTTGAATCACTGGACTCTTTTCTGTTCTTCTTAGACTTCTTTTTCTTGTATTTCTTCCTGAATGGATTATAATTTAATACAAATTAAGTATTCTCATGTTAAAAGGCATTTTCAGTTTTCTTTTTTTTTAAAGGTAAATTGAAGATTCTACTTTTTTTTAAAGATTTTTTTTATTTATTTATCATGTATACAACATTCTGCTTCCATGTATATCTGCACACCAGAAGAGGGCACCAGATCTCATAACGGATGGTTGTGAGCCACCATGTGGTTGCTGGGAATTGAACTCAGGACCTCTGGAAGAGCAGTCGGTGCTCTTAACCTCTGAGCCATCTCTCCAGCACTCAGTTTTCTTTTTTAAGAATTTTTTTTAATTTATGTGCCTGCATGTATGTCTCTGTGAGGGCGTCAGATCCCCTGGAACTGGATTTACAGGTAGTTGGGAGCTGCCATATGGGTCCTCTGTAAGAACAGCCAGTGCTACTTACTGCTGAGCCAGGTCTCCAACCCCAGGCATGCTCAAATTTCAAGGGAATGAAAATGTTGATTAAAATTATCTGAATTCCCAGCTTATTCAAACATTTCGATTCAATCTTCTCAGTTAACCAAGTACTATTTTACCATTAACAAGAAATGACTAAACAATCAAGTAAATATGGTTATCATGTAGAAAGATAATGGAAATAAAATAGCTTAAAGCCTAACTCTCAGGCAGGAGGTGAAAGCTTATGTCTGTAATTGTTGTAGAATAATCTTTTTATACACTATAAAGAAGTGTCACTTGGGTTGCTTTAATAAAAAACTAAATGACCAATAGCAAATCAGGATTTCGGGGGCACAGAGAATGCTGGGAAGAAGGCAGAATCGCCAGCCAGATGCAGAGGAAGTGAAACATGCAGGAAGAGAGGTGAAAGCCATCAGCCACGTAGCACCATGTAGATGAATAGAAATGGGTTAATTTAAGTTCTAAGAGCTAGTTAGAAACAAGCCTAAGCTGTCAGCCAAGTTTTCATAATTAATAAAAAATGTCTGTGTCATCATTTGGGAGCTGGCTAGTGGGATACAGAAAGACTAGCTACATGTAATCCTAGCACCTTGGAGCTAGAGGCAGGAGAATCAAGAGTTCAAAGAAATCCTATGCTATCCAGTGAGCCTAAGGCCAGCCTGAGGTATATTAGACCCTAACTCAAAAAACAAACATACGAGGGTTAAAGAGATTGTTCTGCCCTGCTGGGCGTTGGTGGCGCATGCCTTTAATCCCACCACTCCAGAAGCAGAGGCAGGTGGATCTCTGTGAGTTCAAGGCCAGCCTGGTCTACAGAGGGAGTGCCAGGACAGCCTCCAAAGCAATACAAAGAAACCCTGTCTCAAAAAACAAACAAACAAAAAAGAGATTGTTCAGCAGTTGCAAGTGCTTGCTGCTCTTCCAGAGAACTAGAGTTCATATGCCAGCACCCACATCAGGTAGCTCATAACCATCTGTAATTCCAGCTCCAAGGGCTCTGATACCCTTTTCTGGCCTCTCCAGGTACCTATATATACATGGTGCATACACAGATTCATACATACACTTAAAGGAAAATAAATCTTTCTTATGAAAACATAAAACAGGCTGGAGAGATGGCTCAGAGGTTAAGAGCACTGACTGCTCCTCCAGAGGACCCAGGTTCAATCCCCAATCCCCAGCACCCACATGGTGGCTCACAACCAGTTCCGTAAGATCTGGTGCCCTCTTCTGACATGCAGGGATATGTACAGGCAGAACATAAAAGCAAACAATCCCAAATACAGAAAAAATTCACAAAAACTAAATGAAATGCAAAAACAACCCACAAAACCAAATAAGTTCTCACCAATGTAAACATTAATAAAAATTTTCAGTATGATGGATTAAAATACAGCAAATATGTTTAAATAGCAGCATTCAAAGTAAACTACCACCGTTTTTCAATTTCCATAACATACTGAACCTTGACAAAGACCAGTAGTGTTTGTTAATATAACAAAAAGAGAGAAGACAGTAGCCATCTACTGATGGTGTACACAGCACCACCTAGAAAGTAGTCCTGGCCAAAGTTCCAACTTGAACCGTGCCTACCTCTAGAAAGAAGACAGGAAAGCATGCTAATTCACTCACAATAACCACTATAATTTACAGACATTATTTGCACTCTGATTCAAATAAACTATAGGGAAAAAATACAGAGAATTGACTGTCCATTTTTTTTGTTTGTTTCTTAAGACAGTGTTTTTCTATGTAGACCCGGCTGTCCTAGAACTCACTGTGTAGTGGTCATCAGCCTGTCTTTGCCTCCTAAATGCTGGGATTAAAGGCGTGTGCCACCAATGCCCAGCAACTGTTAAATATGTAGGCACAATAAAAGTTAGCATCTTTCTATTTTAAAAAAAATACCTTTTAGAGAAAGGTACTAAATTATCGAATTATTTATGGAAGGAATGATAGCTCTCATTAGTATCAAAATAATTGGAGAGTGGTGGAAACTACCCATGAGAGAATAATTAGTCACACTGGGTATGTATATGGGGGATCATTATACTATTTTACATAATTTTATAAGTATTTTAAACTTTTTCATTACAAAAAGTAAAGAAAAACTTACATTCTCCGTTTCCTCTTCTTTTCTTTTTTCTTAGCTTTCTTTGCTCTTCTCTTTGTATCTTCATCTGAAAATTAAAGCACATATTATTGAAAAAAATGACATTCAAAATTCCAATATTTTAACAGGTAAATATTCTACTGTTGCAAATGTTCATTTGTTGCTGCAGAGAAATTATTCATTCTGACGTTTATTGAAATTTGCCAGGAACTATACTAGGGGCAGGAGTCAAAGAAATTAAAATCATAGACCAGCAAGATGGCTCAGTGGGTAAAACGCTTACTGTCAAACCTGATGACTTGAATTTGAGCCTCAGAACTACATGGTGGAAGGAAAGAACTGATTCCTGTAAGTTATCCTCTGATCTCTTCACACTGGCTGTGGCATGTATGAGTGCATACACATAAGGACATACAATAAATAAGTGTAAATAAGTTAAAGTCACACTAAGTATTAATAATATGGGGAATCACTTTATTTATTATATATCATTAATTTATTCATTGCACCAATGGCATTGGTTAAGTAGGAAAAAGTCCTATTTCAAAGGAGTGCATATAGAAATATTCTTGGAATGATAGTCAAGGAACTTACTCTGAATAGATCAGCAACTTCCCCTACCCCCATATTTTACACAAATATGTCAAAATGCTAACAGAAACTAATAATGATAATGATGATAATTACATTATTCCCTTTACTTCCCTAAGAATTGTTAAAGTTTCACAGTGAGAAAAAGAAAAACCAAAAGAACCCACTCTGTGTGGAGAGGAAGAGAATGCTTTCCATTCCCAGAACCTCAGTGGGATGGAGGTGAGATGGTAATGAAATGAGCATAATATGGGCTGACAGAGAAAAGCATGGGGCATGAGGAGACAGAGGAGTCTGCAAACCAGCGAGACATGCACTGGCAAGATGACTCAGTTGGGAAACGTGCTTTGTTGAGCATGAAGACCTGAGTTCAATCCCCAGGCCCCACGTGATGGAAGGAGAGAAACTTCAACTCAAGTTACTCCTTAACTTCCATGCATGTCGGGAGGTGTGCGTATCCATATCCATACACACGTGCACAAAAGAAATGACTAAAGTGTAATTAAAAACATGACTTATTTGGAAAGATAATTAAGGAATGGTTAACCTGGAAGCAGTGACTAGCAGTTTTTGAAATCAGTTTATTACAATGGTACTACATGGGGTTGGAGAGATGGCTCAGTGGTTAAGAGCACTGACTGCTCTTCCAGAGGACCTGAGTTCAATTCCCAGCAACCGCATGGTGGCTCACAACCATCTATAGCAGGATAGACAGAGCACTCATATATGTAAAATAAATAAATAAATCTAAAAAAATTGAAAAAAAAAGCACTGCATGTCCATTGCTGCACTATGTAAGCCAAGGTGGATACAGGGAGTGACTAGCTTTAAAGGCAGAGGGCCTGCTGTACCAAGTGACACATACGTAACTGTAGAAAATTAAATAAGGCCGGGCATTGGTGGCACACACCTTTAATCCCAGCACTCAGGAGGCAGTGAGTTTGAGGCCAGCCTGGTCTCCAGAGTGAGTACCAGGATAGGCCCCAAAGCTACACAGAGAAACCCTGTCTCAAAAAACCAAAAAAAAAAAAAAAGAAAGAAAGAAAATTAAATAAATACGAAAAATTTAAATGTAATCAGAAAACTAACATGGTCATAATTATGGTTATAATTCAACACATTTTTAAAAAGCTGAGGGGGTAGAGAGATGGCTTAGCAGCTAAGACCACTGGCTGCTCTTCCAGAGAACTACCAGCACTCACGTGGTGGTCTGTAACTCCAGTTCCAGGGGATTTGACACCCTCTTCTGGTCTCCACAGGCAGAGGGAATACATATGATGCACAAACAATACAGCCTTAAGCGCAACATTTTTAACAACTAAAATGCACTCTGGGGTTTGCAGAACGCTACAGCTTTCTTACCACTGGAGTCTGTTTCAGATTCAGAGTCACTGTCACTATCTTCAGAATACTTCTTATGTTTTCTTTTAGATGACTTTTTCTTTCTCTTTTTCTTGGATCTTTCTTTTGAATGACTAGATTTCCTTTTCTTCTTCTTGTCATCTGTTGTAAGTACAAATGAAAAATGAACTTCCTCAGAAGTATTTCTGGACATCTTACTATATTTCAGATACTGAAAAGGAATAGCTATTTGGTAGTCTACTGTTCAATTATTTATAAACATACTTTTTAAATTTGTGAAGTAGTAACTTCCTTATTTTCCAAAATTACCTTCTGAACTCGATGCTGAAGTAGTGCTTTTCTTTGGCTCTTCATCCTCTACTGGTGTATGTTCATCAGAGCTGAATTACAGAAAACGGTTGGAAGAAATATGTACCATAGGGCATTAAAATATGCACTTAAAATTCTTCAGTAACAGCACTCATTGCCTAGGAACTTTTAAAGACAAGCATTTAAAATTATTGTTATTATTATTATTATTTTATCTTACATGTAGGGGCATTTTGCCTACACATACGACTGTGCCTGGTGCTCACAAAGGCTAGAGGAGGCATCGGATCCTCTGGAACTGGAGTTAGAGAATGGTTGTTATGTGGGTGCTGTGGATCAAGTTCAGGTTGCCAGAAGAACAGCCAGTGCTCTAAACCACTGAACCCTCTCTCTAGCTCTCAAAGGCAAGCATTTTTGTAAGAGTATATTCAGAAATCTACCATCTTCATAATAGGAAAATGACTGATATTTCTATAATGCTTTCATTTACACAGTACTGTTTAAAAAAGCAATGTGTAAGACTTATATTTTTAGAAGAAACTCACAAGATGAAAGTTAAGAAATAGGCCGGGAGGTGGTGGCGCACGCCATTGTGGGTTGGAGACCAGCCTGGTCTACAAGAGCAAGTTCCAGGACAGCCTCCAAAGCCACAGAGAAACCCTGTCTCAAAAAACCAAAAAAAAAAAAAAAGAAAGAAAGAAAAAAAGAAAGTTTAGAAATAGAAAACATCAAGAAAAGGCAAACATGAAGACTGATGGAAGAGTTCATGATTTTATTATTTTCGGGCTGTAGGGATAAAACCTAGGCCTCAAAAATGCTTGGTTTTAACACTGGTTTTGGTTTTGACTGTTTTAACACTGAGAGATATTCTAGTACCAGAATTTTATTCCTAGTAGATGAAGGATATACATGAGAACAACTCGAATCTCCAGGATTTTATTCTAAGTATATGAAGGATATATGCTTAGCATAACTCCCATCTCCCCAAAACCTAAAAGACTGCAGAATTTGTAAAATAAATTCTAAAAGTAAGTTTTTTTGTTTGGGGGTTTAGTTTACTTAGTACATACATGAATATTTGTGTCTGTGTGTGTGTGTGTGGGTGTGTGTGTGTGTGTGTGTGGGTGT